TGGTACCTGTAAATATCTTCTTCCCAGTGCATTGTTATATTAGACAAGGAACCACAAAAAGTTTGTGTAGTAACAAAGAACCCTTAGTAAGAGAAGTCACTAGGCAACAAATTGAAATGTAATCATAAACTGCTACAAATTTAAAGGCAAACAGAACATGACCTGTCTAACAAACCAAGCATAGTCTTTACTGCTGACATAACTGATTCACTTAATTTTACTAAAACTAGTGATGTGCTCCTATGCCTGCTCTTTAGCTTTAAAAGTCAATGATTTATCAGCAAGCATTCTTTAAAGCAATGGTACTTTACAAATGCAAAGCCCTAACCTATGAACTCACCCCCAGTCCGCTAAAAAAGAAAACTTGGGGTCTTCTTTAAGGTCAGAACATTCATTCATCAAGTGAGGGAAAGCAATTATAAAATGGGATCCGTAAAGGGGACTTAAAAGTGAGTTGAAAATCTTCAAACAGAATATTTTATTTGGAATCTATTGAAAATGTTAGTTGTAAAAATTACTACTAGTTAGAGTTAATATTATAAGTAATATAGTTACATCAAACCATGACTGTATTGTAGAGAGGCATGATATTTTGGCGCAATATCGGGTTTTGGTAGATTTTTTAATTGGTCAGTTTCTGTTGATATTGGATATTAAATTGTGAATGGTCATTTCCTGTTTTTGTAGATGACCTTTACCATCATCCAATGCTCATTTGAAGTCTTTAAAAAAATGTATTAACACTGTTAAATAATCTTTGATGAATATCCAGATTATACATCAAAATATCAATTGTCATACAGCACATTATAACATTGTAATGCTTGAATTTACTTGTAACATTTAAAATGATTTATTTTAGTTTTCACAGAGTAATACTAGTTAATGTTATTAGCTTGAATAGATTTTAAATGTCAATGTTTGAGGCTTGATGTCTGTCAGTGTAACAGTAGAGTATCAACAGTAATGTTATAATGCTGTATCTTCCTCACCTGCCCTGCCTGGCTGCTTTTTCTCTCAGTGTGAGCAGCAACAACTGAATCTCTGCTTTTAGCAACTCTTTAACAGCTGGGGGGTCAGCCAGAGGGAACATGGGGGCTTCTGGCCTGTTGCCCTTCTCTGAGCAACGGAGCTCCTGCCAAATCTTCTCCCACATCTCCACCTAGAACAGGTCAGCAGAGGAAAGTGTTACAGGAGAATGCTGTTTGGCTCAGCTTTGTATGAAATGCACTTTCCAAATCCGTTACAAGCTGCTCTACAACTAGAGAAATGCAGCCAGTTGGTTAACATCCCATCACAAGTGTCTCTAATCTCTGCTGAGTTGAAGAGAAATGTGCGTAAGAAGCTGGAAATTTCAGGGAAAATCCATGTGTTATTCTCACAAACGCCCCAAACAAAGTGAAAAGCCAGAGAGGGAAATGAAAGCCTGTCACGGCACTGGCAAACAATATCTGCACTCTATTACCAATCTCCACACCTGTCTTGGGACTTTCAAGTTTCCCTCGGACTCTGAAAATACACTTCAAAGCTTGTCGAAGGCAATGCAAGAGAGAGTAAAGCCAGCTCCCTGAGAATTCTGATCCTGCTGTGCCTGCATGAAACCAACTTTAAGCCTAAATAACACAGGCCAGCATCTTCTTATTTCCACTGCAGCTTCTGCAGAACCAGGTTTGATGTGCCCAGCCACCAGAGAGCCATTTCTGTGAGGATGTAGGATTAAAAATGTAAATGAGCTAATGCAAACTTTGATTCAAAAGAACATTTTTCTTTTCTTGTTTATTGACTTTCATCTTTTTTACTGAAGAAATGTTCTCAGGGATAAGCTCAGGGAGAGACAAGGAGGGAGGAAAATAGACAGAAATACAAGATTCTTTGGCGTGTTCCTTGTTTTGCGTCATATTAGTAGTTATAAACTTCACTGGCATTCAAAAAAGGTTGCACTGAGAAAAATGTAAAAACTGTTTACTGCCAGACTTACTGACAAGGTGCGAACCCCTGGTACCCTTGGTTGCATTTGCTCAGACAATTCATTCTCATGATCACTATTATTATTTGCATTGATTTTTTTTGTCATAAAATTCCCTTGAATACATATTCAAGGCATATAATATGCCTTGCTATGTCAAAGAAATCTCAGAAATCCTTATCTGGTGTGTCCACTCCATGAACAGCAGAGGGGGTTTTAAACAGAAAGTCATAAATCCTATTTAGTGTTCAGAGGAAGGAGGAATCACACACGTCTTCCATAGACAAGTTTCCACCCACTATTTCCATATGTACATCGCTGTCTGCATATAGTGATAGCCTATGCAGGTTGTAAAAGAAAATTTATCTTTGAAAGAGTCGTATCTGAAACAAGCAAGGTTTGCATTCCATGCACTTAGGCTCTGCGAGATAATGCACTCTTGGGAGCTGTAATTCAAAACCGGTTTAGAGTTACACATCGGTGCATACTAGCTTACCTGTTCATGGAGACTTTCTAATTCAGTGCATAAAATTATAAAACATAAATGCGTATGTGAATGCAGAGCACAAAATTGTATTTGCCTAACATTATCTAAACATTAAGCAAAGGTTTCAAAAGTCTTTCAAACACAAATGTTTAAAAGAAGTATATTTTATCAGGTTGTCCTTCCCCCTACCACACCTAATCTAACATAAATAAATAAATAAAAATATGTAGCCACCACCTCAAGGGATGTTTCCACTTGCCTTTCAAAAGGAAAATATAAGTACTGTATTAAACATCAAATGACATGAATTATGTGATTTGCCAAATGAGCAAAATGATTTGCAAAATGTGATTTTATGATTTGTCAAATGTTTGTTTCAATTCCAACATCCAGATGTATGCTGATGACACAGTAGTTTTTGTACATGCTAATAGTGCAGCTCAAGCTGCTGATCAGCTAACAAATTCAATGTTAAAGATCACGGAACGGCTAAAACATAATTGCTCACAACTAAATGTATCGAAAACAGCATGTATGTTTTTCAGTAAAACTAAAAGTTGCCGTGCAGAGTCAGATGTAGTCATAGATGGGGAGAGACTACAAGTTGTCTCAGATTTTAAATATCTGGATGTATATATTGATAGCAGTCTTACTTTTAAAATGCACATCAAGAAGGTTTGCAATCACATTAAGTTCAACTTAGCAAATTTTAGATATGCCCATAGCTGCATGTCAACTAAGGCTGCAAAGATGCTTATGCATTCAATGATCTTCTAAGTTTCACTTAAAGAATTGGTTAATTGAGAGTCAGCATTGTAAACATTTTATAAACTAACCTCTGCTGCTGTCTTGTCTTTTCTGCTCTACTAGTTTGAGATTTTCATGCTAGGTATATGAGGTTGTTTGGTTTAGTACTGATTGAATGATTAGGGCTACTGTTACTTGTCTGTATGCTAACATTATCTTTGTCTGTATACTGATATTATGATATTATTGATACACTGTTTGTCATTTTGTTTGACAGTTGGATTGTGTGTGTATGAGTGAGCTGGTATTGATTTGTTGGTTCTATGTATAGTATAACTTTTAAGCGGATGTTTTTTTTAGGAATAGTGTGAATGTTACATGTATTTTGGAGTATGTAAGTATTATGTATTGATTAACTCTTTATATTTTTTTAGGGTGACAATTTTACCATCAGTCCAGGGACTGCAGATGCAAAATAGCCTTCTGGCTAATTCTGGCACATTGTACATTTATGTATTATTGATGTGCATTGTCCCTGTCAAATAAATCTGAAATAAATAAATGAATGTAGACTGGACCTTGAATATATATATATATATATTATTTGTTTATTTATTTTTATGCCTACCATATACCATATAAAGTACTTCTGTTGTGTCTTGCTAGACAGTCTGTTGCATAAATATGATTTACCTCTGATTATAACTCTGTGTACGAATCAATCAGTGCTTCTCCAAGTACAGCTCGGATCTCAGGAAGCTCAGTGCAGGGAACATTTTCCTTCACTACATTCCACACAGATTGTTGGCGTTGGAAATTGTCCATGAGGCAGCTATTTCCTGAGCTGAGCGCAAAAAGCTCATCACAGGCGTGCATTCGGTGTCATATATAAATAAATATAGTCCTACATACATTTAAAAAAAATTCATACCGCATTCAAATGCTCCGATACACCGTACGAAGGGAAAGAGCATAATAAATAAACATAATTCGTAAACAATTACGACCTGATTAATGAGCTTTTGCAATAAACTTTAAACTATTATTTGGTTGCTTTAAACGTTTAGGATAATGAAACAATGGTGATCTGAGTAAGATTTAAAATGGCATACATTTGTGCAAGCATATACAATAGTTTTACAACAAGCACATTCACCACGGGCAGACACTCACCAGAACAATCGTAGCTTCCTGTATCAGGGTAAACATTCCTGTTCCTATGGAGACAAGCTCGCGCACTCAAATGATTGGCTGCAGGACTCGTGATGGTGATCTTTATTAACCCATTCAGACCCACTACATTACACATGTACATCACTTTCTTTTTTCTTCCAGTGATTGAATTCTATTAACATGCAATATTTGTTGGAGCTTTAAGTCTTAATATACAAGCATTGTGCAATAACTTAAAAAAAAACAGTGTTTCATAATATATAACAGCCTATGGAAGTTTTCTTGAAATACGAACAAATTCATAATGTTCAAAACACGTGTCCATTGCGATTGACAGGACTATTAAAAATACTATTATTTTTTCTTTCTTTTATTATTTATTATCATTAAAGAAATAAAGCATATAGGCCTATTTGGTGTTTCTGGAACACGGTGGAAACACCGTGGGAAAAAAAATAAGTGTTAAATTGCATAATATTATGGTTTTACCATTTTTTTCTCAATAGACACACACAAAGCTGCAATGAAAACGAATGCCTCATAAACTACACCCTATCAATATTCTGGAATTCGGTTGTCACGTGTGAACTGAAACATAACCCCCGAGGCGTAAAACTTTCTTATGCGCAACAGCCTCCAAAGCGCGCACAGTCCATTCTGGCCATGAATTTGAAACTTTATGTAATTTAGCTGAACAGACGCGTGCAATAGCAAGTTTTTGAAAATAACAGTAGGCTAATTCCTATTTATGCTGCATTTGCAAGTCTTGGTTTGGGACTGAGACGTTTTTGGTGATGGGCATGGCTGTACTCTGGGGCTCCCCGGTGAATTTTCTTCATGTCTGGCTTACCCTGGTGATCTGCGGCCAGTGTGCTTTGGCTTTTTCGGTCGCTGGACAACAGGAGACAACATGTGAGGCGAACGGCAGCGTTTATTATGAGGGCGAATGGTATTTTTTAGACTCGGATCATTGCACCCAGTGCGAATGTACAGCAGCAGGGTCTGCTTGCGCGCGGACTGAGTGCACATCCCTGCCTGCCGCCTGCATCCATGTCAGCCATTACCCGACAGACTGCTGCCCGAGATGCGAGAAGATCGGCTGCGAGTACGGGGGAGAAGTCTACGAACTGGGCCAACAATTTCAGGTAAAGTTTCTGTAAAGAGTCTGCATACAAGGGCCACCAAAAGAGAGAAAAATATGTTTTTACATTTCTAAGTGGGCTTTATGTCCTCTTGCTTTATATATGACTTTTTAATTGCTCTCCTAAATAACTGAACTTAACTTTCTGCCGCATTGCTTGCAGTTAAACACCTGTAATGAATTAACGTTGACGTGAAATGTAACATAGCAGTGACAAAATAAAACTACTTATTCTGAGAATAGCTTAATGTTTTTTTATGATTTGAAGATACATCGTAATTTGCTGGCAATAACTGTCTTAAGATGAGTGAACGGGCCCTTTTTTGCTTTTCAAGGTTTGTTACTAACTCCATAAGCTTTCCTAAAGTTTCAGTTGTGTAATGTTTTCCCTATAGGCGGAGACATTGTTTCTAGTTTTTTGGTATTGGTCGCAAAAGGACAGTAAAAAATATTTAGCGCCATCACGTGTTTAATGATCAAATTAATTACGTCTCAATTTGTGATGCAGATTTTCTGACTTGAGTGAGACTTTTTGGGCAGGTTACATCTTAACGCCAGTAGGTGGCAACACGTGATTGTGTAATGAGTGAGAGTGTCATTAAATAGTTCACTGAACCGATTCGTTAAAACACTGAATCAACCAAAACAGGCCTTTTTATATTTTAATTAAATGAATCTTCATAAACAAGGATCTGCTGAGTAAATCTGCATGCAAATTTGGAGTCTCGCCGACTCTCGTTCACTTTCAAAACAGCACATAGTTCAGTAGATACAGTTCTGTCACGCAGTTTAAGAGAGAAGGATTTGTTCATGAAAAAGATTCAAAATAGCACTGCAGTGATCTTTGTTCATAGGAAGCTTCTAATGAGGTCTAAGTACACTGAGTAATTTTCAACAGCAAAACTAGTCTTTTCTTGTCAAGTTGTTGACTGTTTGTTACTTGCAATCCACATGACAATTGGGTGACAATTCATTCAAACGATACAAACATGCACTCTTAAAAATAAAGGTGCTTCAAAAGGTTCTTCAAGCGATGCCATAGAAGAACCATTTTTAGTTCCACAAAGAACCATTCAGTCAAAGGTTCTTTAAAGAACCATCTCTTTATTGCCTTTTTATAATCTCAAGAACCTTTTTTCGCCACAAAGAGCCTTTTGTGAAACAGAAAGGTTCTTCAGATGTTAAAGGTTCTTTATGGAACCATTTAGACAAAAAGGTTCTTCTATGGCATCGTGAAGCACCTTTATTTTTAAGAGTGTACTACAAACAAAAACTTTACCATGGTAAGCAAATAAATAGATAGGCTACATAAAGACTAAGATTCCAATTATAGGTTGAATGTACCTTTTTTAAGTCGGAACAAAAGCAGCTCTTTACTTCTGAAACACAATTGTTTAATTTGATCCAATTCCTTCCATACCCTTTCATGAACGTATTTATTCATTGTCTTAGTTAAAGCTAATAAAGTAGGATTCTTTTGTTCTGAGGCAAGGTGAAGCATAAATCTGATGTACATTGGGCTGAAATCACAAAGGGCAATTTAATACTCTGAGGAATTGAAGAATGAAATATCTCTGGTGGCACAGGCTTGGAAGAAGCAGGGCTTTAATGTGCTTCATTATCTCCCTGATTTGGTTATTATGGCTAATAGGGAATCTCTGAGGGGAAAATTGAAGCCTTCTGAGAGACTCCAAGGAATACACTTTGCCTGAGCTGACATCATTTTCTTCCAGTCCATTTAACCCAACCTCCAGTACTGAGCCACAAGTGGTAATTTAGCTCCTTGAACAGCAGTTTGGGAGTGGAATTTGATCACATTCTTCACATTGTAGGGCATTAAAATGTAGTGTTGGATTGGCACATCATCAAATAACGGTATATGCAAGCAAGCAATTTGATAGTCCTGCTGGTTCTGTTTAAAAAATCAGTTTGAAGGAATAGAGTTATACACGTCTTTTGATGGAATTGCATCATATGATAACCTACTTTCAACTGATGATTTGCATTTGATTTACAGCCGTCAGCATGTGAGCAGTGCACCTGTCACAGCGACGGCATCGCCCGCTGTCAGGTAGCAGACTGTGCCCCTCCACCATGTGTTAATCCAGTCTATCAGACAGGGAAATGCTGCCCTCAGTGCAAGGATGGTAAGTTTTTCAGAACTGAAAAAGAAAACTGCCATATTTGTAAGGCTTATTACACTTCTGTGTACTGTAATTGCCCAAGTTTTGACTCATGCAGTATGACATTCTCATAGCCTCAACACATACATAGAGGCTACAATTGTGTTTGGTCTCCGGTAATGATTCTGAATGCAATATCTTTATATAATTCATTCAATAACAGATGGGACGGTTCAGATGCCGGGCCATGTGCTAGGCCAGTTTCTGCACCTGAAATAAGATAAGGCTTCTAATGAGTTGAGCTTCTGCCGTATTGTTTTCTCTGTATACTGTGAAGTATGAAGGTAATTACAGTGTTTACTGAGAGCAAAGATAAGGCAGGCATGTAGGCATCCAAAACAACACACATAAATCAAAGCATGTACGTCACCAATGTGATAAATGGTCAGCTCCTCAAATGATGTTGCATTTTTGTTGATAAAAATTGCCTCTGTGGGGGAAAATGTTAAATTAAGTTTTCTGTTAATCTAAAGTAACTTCCAAATTAAAGTAAAACCTTATCTTAAAAGTTAAACACTCTAAAAAAGCAATGTGCCTTTATCTACACTCCAAGGCTTCCTAATTAGTGGCGCTTGCTGAGGTTTTTCAAAAACTCCTGACCTTAAGTATTTAAATTCTGCGCATAACTTGTCCAGCACAGTTTGTGCTACTGACATGAATGACACCGCAAGTTGTGCAGATTTTTGAAGAGAGTGTTCTGTTACTTTTCTTAGCATCCTGAATTTAGAGTTTGGCAATTCGGATGATAAAACAAAAGAGAAAAGATCCAGAATTATATAGACTTGAGAGGCTTTTCTTACTTGGACTAGTAAGCAACCACTTAGCAACACCCAGAACACCATTGCAACACAGTAAGAAAAAGCTTAAAACCACCTAAGCAATTGCATAGCAACACTGTAGTACAGTGGTTCTTGAAACTCCTTGAATCACAAAAATAATTGTAGTTAAATAATATCATTAGACCCGCTGTCTCTCTATATTAAGATGGGATAGGAAAAAATATTTTAACTGAAAAAATGACACACTTCACCTTAAACTACAGACAATGGGCCTCATTAATCATTTCTCTCTCTTTGTGGCTCCAGGGCCCAACTGTTATGTGAATGCTTCTAGGACCCAAGTGATCCCTGGAGGAGAGCCAGTGTGGGTCGACTCCTGTACCAAATGTCGATGTCATGACGGTCAGGATGCAGGTTATTGGGAAGGCAACCGCTTAGCAACGTGTTCCCATGTGCGCAACTGCCAGCCTGACGAGGGGCTAAACTGAGGGAAGAGGTCAAAAATAGGGTCATCTGACATCCATATTTATACAATGGATGACAAAATTCAGCAGATATTTAAACCACACTTGTGGAAGAAAGTGTGGAGGCTATTTTAATCATATAAAGCCTACAAGCTTTATATCATTAAAAAAACAGTCTATTATTATTATTATGATAACTAAGCATTTAACATCCATTCGTTAAAGTAAAATGAGTTGGTAAAAAATTGGTTTGACTTACTAAGGGATATTCCCTAATGAAATGGATAATAGAGCTTAGTTTTGAGACACCTTTTTGGGCATGGTTATAAATAGCACAGTGAGCATATTAGCATCTACAGTACAACTGTGTTTAGATCAATGTTGACATTGGGCTCTGTGTAGTGCACACTTGCACCTGCAGATAGGGATGGGTGTATCGATCCTGAAATATCAATACTGATGCGAGTATCGAAAGTATTGATACTCAAATAAAAAATAATGATACTAAGGTGTTTTATTTACCAGTGATTTTGTTTATTTAACAAAGACATTAATGCATACAATATGCATTGAATTGGACGAATACCTAGTGTTAGTTAATAATTGTGTAGGACAGAACTATTTTCCTGCTCATCTGAACACACGCAAATGTTGCAAGACAGAACCAATCAATCACAGGGAGCGTTCACTCACTTCTGACAGTGCATTCAAACAGGGCTGCGTTTCAAAAGTATAATAAGAAACCATTGATGCTTTTGGGAATGGCAGCCCAGAACAATGAGGACAGAAAAAAAATATATGTTAGAGTTATTTCACAGTAAACCAATTGAAATTGTAGCCCATATAGTTTGTGCAATTACATTTATTTAAATTGAACGTTAAAAGTTCATATTGATCATGTTCTATTCTGTAATGAAAATATAAATCATACACTGTCAGACAGTTCACTAGCAGTCCCTTATGAAAATTAACCATGGTTTTACTGTAGTTCAATATAGTACTATATACAATATAGTATTTGTAGATCTCCGTGGTTACCACTACAGTAAACATATTTTAACCATGTGCAATTAAGGCGTATTGAATGTTAAAATGTGTTTCAAATATAAAGTTAAGTGGGTATCATTCCCCATTTTACTCTTAGTAATTTAATAATTTAATACATTTCATAATATAAAAGTTCAGTTTAGAAGTATCGTATCGGTATCGGTATCGGCCTTGGTATCGTATTGAAAACAAAATAAGTGGTATCGCCCATCCCTACCTGCAGATGCAATGATCATCCACTAATATATATATTTTTTATTGGTGTTTTTATATGATTTGAAGTAGCATATATGTTTATATTATTTTCTGCTTCAAAAGCCTGAAAACCAAAGTATGTTGAGACTGCAAGACTTACATTACTGCCATGCAGGCATGGAAACAGCTAATGTAGCCTGAACTACAAACAAAACAAACCTATCATAAATGAATCATGTATAAATAAAGCAGGCTTATTTTTGTTTCATTTCTGTTCTGACACCTCATTTTAAAAGCTGTGGTAATAATGCTACTTTTTTTCGAGGACTGCATTTGCGGCAATGACAGAATGTACACAAATATAAATAAACCACAAGTGATCTGTGTCTTGTCTTATTATCCCATTTATGAAGTTAAGAGGATGTTTGTGTTGTTATTTCTACTAGTTTATTGCAACATCTGTCACATAAAAAATTACTTTTTGAGAGGCAGATTATTGAGTTTCCTGCACAAGGCTGACAGTTTAGAGATATGATGTTCCCTTTCCAATAAACTGCCATGTCCCTGAGCACTGATTTGGACTGGTGCTGGTAAAAGGTGGGTGTTGAAATAATCAGGTGTAAATATGAGATTTATTACTTTGTTCTGATCCACTTCTTATAGAGTCCATATTTTGTATTTTACACACACACACACAAATAAACAACACTACCATATGGCGTTCTACATTTGTATAAACCCAGAAAAAGAATATAAACACTATCCCATCATCCGATTCTTGTAGCATCAGATTTATTGATTGTATACAAAAAGTATGTTTGATATGGCATAATGCATTCTATATAAGATATAGTATTTTGACATTCAATATACAAAACAACCTTAATAGACACAGTAAGTCTTTAAAAAATGCGCCCCAGACGTGAAGACCTGAGGCCGTCAGTAGTTTCTTACGCAAGTCGTTGTGTAGGTGTGGAATACTTGCCCACTTCTGTCCCTCTCTCACATTGACAAGCATAGAGCGCAGATGGAGTTCTTTCTGGAGAACAACTGAGAGCAAAAAGGGTGATGGAGGAGAGAGGGTGAGCTTCACATAAACAAGTCTCTGTGTGTGTGAGTTTTCAGTATGGGAGTGTTTGCTGACCCAAGAGTGATATATAAGAACGGCATCAAAATGAAAAGCGTATTCATTGTGGCACCAGTGTGATTTCACAAACTATAAAGCGAGATTTGCTGAAGAACAGCATCCTGACCTCGAGGATTGCGTTTGTGCTTTGCAAGGTTGGTAATGAGAGTTGTGCGAGCTTCACTTGATTGCATTGTTAGCACAAGAAATATAAGTAACTTCAGAATGGAACAACCAGATGATTTAAATGTATAAACCACAATGGAACATTTATAATGTTATCGAATTCCACCCAAAACACTAAAGAATAATGCAACTTTATATCTACACCGTAGACTATAAGCAATTTATTTGCCACAGGGGCAAAAGTAAGATTAAGATCAGAAGGAATTAAGTGAGTGTAATTGTGTGATAATTGAGTGTATCACCAGACTAAATAAAAATAATAAAAAATTGAAGATTTCATTGTCCTCACTAATAAGAACAATATCTACAAATTTCACAACATCCAAATACATGGTCTTACTAGTAGCCATTAAAGGTGCACTCAGTAATTATATATACATATATATATATATATATATATATATATATATGAATGATATATAAATGTGAATATTTAATATTTAAAACATTTTGGGTAGGTAAAAGACGTTTCTTAAAGCTCACCAAGACTGCATTTATTTGATCACAATTACAGTGAAAACAGTAATATTGTGAAATATTACAATTTAAAATAACTTTTTCCTATTTTAATAATGTTAAATGTTAAAATATAATTTATTCCTATGATGGCAAAGCTGAATTTTCGGCAACCTTTACTCCAATCTTCAGTGTCACCTGATCCTTTAGAAATCCTTCTAATATGCTTGATATTTTTGAGGAAATAGTGATTCATTGATAGATAGAAAGTTCAAAAGTACAGCGTTTATTTGAAAGTTAAATAATAATTTTTTTTTATTTACTTTCACTTTTGATCAACTGAATGCATCCTTGCTGAATAAAAGTATCAATGTCAAAAGTATTAAAAAAAACACTTTTGAACGTTATATAGATAACTGCCCTATTGAATCATTTCACTTGTGAAATAAATTAGTCATGGTAGCATAAATCTGCCATATCAATCAGTGCAACCAACAAAAATGACTGAGTACACCTTTAAATCGAGAGATATCAAAATATGTTTCAGAAGAATGACTACACATTATACATTATTATCATGCTGTATCAGGCCTGACAGATTACATGCAACAATGTGCGTGAGGCCTTCAATATGTTGGACATTGTTCTGCTCACATCGTATAAACCATATGGACTGCATTTTTCATTTTGAAAAAATTAAGATAATGTAAATGACATGCGCTCTGCAACATTTTTTTCTCTTCAATTTAATACACGCCTTGATACATCAACTCGAGAAAGGAAATAATCTCATTTTACTCCAACAGAAACAGATTTCTATTTCATTTACCAAGACATTTCAGGACGAGCATAATGTCTTTTTAATAAGGATATTGGCTTGAAATCTCATTCGTGTTGAAGGTTTAGGAATCACTGCATTCTACAACATTGTTCCTCAGCACTTAAGATGCAGGTCACAGCTAGAGCAAAAACTATTGAATATGATCAATGAATAATTTTGAATATACTCAACTATGTGCATACAGTGGGCATCTTTCAAAAATAAAGGTAACTATGGATATCAACTTTTAAGGCTATTAATACAGGAAAAATCAAGGAGCTTGAGGCAATCAGTTAAGTATTAACCATTATTTCGCTTGATGGCCAATGTAAAAATCAGCGTGGCAAAAGTGATGCACTTATAACTGACAGGTCATGGTACCCAGGAGACAGAGGTGATGAAATACTTTAAAAAAAAAAAAAGGAAACAATGTTAGTGACATAGTGACTGCTTGGGTCAGCAGTTAAGACAACACAAATGCACACACAGAAATGAAATGGGTTGGTGAGGCTAAAATGAAAGGCATGAGGAGAAAGACAGATGTGTATTTTAAAAAAGACAGGTAGAGTGGTTCGGCTCTCATTAATGACTTCCTCTGTGCTGGGCTGAAAGTATCACTGACAAAGAACCGTCCACACACGGTGCAGAAAAGCCGATAAGAGAGAAAACAGAGCTTGAACTCCCCTCACATTTACCCCTCATAAAACATCTGAAGGCATCAGCTTGGTGTTTTCAGGCAGTAAAATAAAAGGTGAAGAAGGAATAAGGAACGGTAAAACAACTTTAAGAGGCTTGCAAAGTATTGTAAAAAAAAAAAAAAGCAGTTCAATACAGTTAAGATCTTTTCGGAGGAGGTGAACACAGGGTCCAAAATTAAAGGGACAGTTCACCCAAAAATGAAAATTCTGTCATTAATTACTCACCCTCATGACGATATGAGAATGAGTAATTAATGACAGAATTTTCCTTTTTGGGTGAACTATCCATTTAACATTAGCCAAACACCAAATGCAAGTGAAAATCAACATGACAATAACAGATGATGAAAATTATGGAAACTAGACAAATCTTATATTGATCTATGTTTTTGTTTTTATCTATGAAGTTTTTTATCCTCCTGAACTCCGTTGAAAAGTGTGGGGATGGTAAGACTGTTTAATGTTTTGGAAAGAAGTCTTATTTGATAAACAATACAGTAAAAACAGTAATATTGTGAAATATTATTAACTTTTGTTATTTGAAAATATTTGTAATTTATTCCTGTTATATATTTTCAGCAGCCATTACACCAGTCTTCAGTGTCACATGATGCTTCAGAAATCATTCTAATATACTGATTTGGCGCTCAAGAAACATTTCTCATTGTTACCAATGTTGAAAACACTGTGCTGCTTAATATTTTCATAGAAACTGTCATACATGTGATTCATCTTTGATGAACAAAAATTCTAAGGAGCATTTATTTGAAATTTAAACTATGACAATGTAGAAGTCTTTACTGTAAAGTATTCATTGACTAAAAGTATTATTTCTTCAAATATATCTTACTGACCCCACACTTTTGAAGGGTAGTTTAAAAATATTCTTCATATTAAGCTATCAAAACAAAAACAAAAAGGAACAAAATTATAGGGCTTGTTTTTATTGCGCAGTTAAGGCTGAACTAACTTCTTAGTGAACTGTGCTCTTACAAAAATGCAAAAAAAAAGCTAATAATAATAATAATTCCTTTGTCAGAGAGACAAAAATATGTTCTTATAAAAAATGGCAATATTGATTCATGGCCTGTAAGAAATAATTACGTTGGTAAATGTTTTCAATTCACTTGAATTGGCAGGTGTGGAAAAATGTTGATTCTGGACCCCGGGTGAATATATATATATATATATATTGGACATATCAGAGCGTCATTTAAATAACACCTCCATAGATGATCATCAAAGGGGGTGATAGACTCTAAAACTGAATGATATGGGCATTATTTAATCAAAGCACCCATCGCTAACTTCATCCTTCAAGTTTTTAAAAAAGCCTTGATATATGACAGATCTAAATATGAATCTTTGAGGCAAATC